CTCTCTCTCTCTCTCTCTCTCTCTCTCTCTCTCTCTCTCTCTCTCTCTCTCTCTCTCTCTCTCTCTCTCTCTCTCTCTCTCGCCCGTGCACACACACATGCACGCACATGCACATGCACAGGCACATCCACACACAAGCACAGCCACGCACACAGACACATGCACATCCACGCATGCGGATGTTCACGCACAGGCACACACACACGCACATGCACATACACATACACACAGAAGCAGCTGGCTTGCCTTCTGTACCCACTGGGGAAAGGAAAAGACGAGCAAAGACACCTGGTGTATGGAGGATAGAGCAAGCCAGAGGAAGAGAAAGTGCAGACTAGCGAATGAAACAATTCTTCATGGGGAAAAAAAAAAAAAAAAACATTAAATAAAAAAGGGGGGACAGAGAGGAGCAAAAGTTGCAGGAACTCGAAGTATGTGAAACTGCCGAAGTCCATACCGCAAGGGGTTCGCACTAGTCCTCTGGCCCATTGTCACAAAACTGGTTTCTTGCTGCGACATGAACCATGCCATCGAAGATACGCTGGAAAAAAGACATCGAAGTTGGTCAGATGCCACAAGAAGTCAGTCACGGTGGCAGGACCACTTCTCACAATTGCTTTCGGAAACAAGAACTTTTAAATTAACTGCACGTCAGAAATCAGGAACATCTGCATATTTTTTCGCGAACAATGACACTCCTGCCGCTGCATGCATCCCGCAAACTCCCTCCTTGATTTCGCAATGAGCATTTCTGAGGAGCATAGGTGCAGATTATAGCAAATAGGTACATGCGCAATGAGCCCCACTCCTAATACTCACCTCTCAAAGATAATTTAATGCATGAACTCAATGCATGACAACACAGGCGACATGAAGACAATGCACGGTACAACAAGAAGAGGATGAATGTGTGATGAAGACAATGCACGGTACAACAAGAAGAGGATGAATGTGTGATGACCCCACCAAACACGGACTGAGACACAGTTGATATGAGTTTTGCTCACGGACTGAATGCCTTGCTGAGTTTTCCGCTTGCTACTAAGTTCTGCATGTCTGTGTGTGTGCACGATTGCTGGACTGCATGTCTGTCTGAGTGCTGGTTGGCTAGTGTGTGTGTGCCCCACAAGGGCACTTGTTCGTTCGTTGGGCCCTCAGGGCAGGTACTTACCTGTGGCCGTGACATTGAGGATTGCAGCGGGGGGGAAGCAATCAAGTAGCAGGTAGGCCGGTACCGCACCCTGAAGAGGTAGATATGTGGAGGCCAAGCAGAAGAAGACAAAAGTGGCATTTTGAGAGGCCCAGTAGTTGTACGCAAGGTCTAGGCGGGTACCAGTCCAACCAGTCTGAGTCTAGGGCCTGTACGGGCAATATCAGAGTCTGCAATGATGTTTCCCTCCGAAAGGGAGGAGGTACCGGTTGCTGGGAAGGCCGAGCGGCCTGGAAGTCACCGCCCAAGAAGCAAGCAGGCCGCTATATCTCCAGGCCAGGCGAGGAGCCCAGCCTCATTGTCGGTGTGCAAGTTTGGCGACACACTGGTTGGAGCGCTGGCTGGAGCAGCGCTAGCAAGAGCAGCGCTGCTGGGGAAGGAGCAAGGGGGAGCGCCAGAGGTACTTACCTGGCTATGGTGGCAGCCATCTTCATCACCTTGGTGGGCGCTGCAGCAGGGACACCCAGCTGGGGAGAGCTACACCAAGAAGCTTCGAGGCAGAGTCAGGCATGGCGGCCTGAGCTAGAGCAGCCATACCTGCTTTGGGTTGTCCTTTGGGCATCAGGGCAACGCCCGGTAGTCCGCCATAGCCTCGGCCTATGGGCGTGATGAGTGAGGGAGGCGGCCATGGCTATGGTGGACCTCAAGTGATACCTGCAGTAGAAGAGGAACTCGGACATTGATTCTGGATCAGCCATTCAACATTGTACTATTATTTCTTCTGTGAATAAGAGAGGAGGAAGAAAAGGAGGAGGAGAGTGTTTGGTGAAGAAGAAGAGCTTTGTCATTTGTCTATGTTGGTGTGCGTCATCTTCTTCTTTCTTTCTTCTTCTTCTTCTTCTTACCCTCTCTCTCCTCTCAAGTTCATTCATTTCTTTCTGCAATTGGACAACATTATACTATCTGATGAATGTGTATCTCAAAATTGGCCAGGATCATAACATTGGTATCAGAGCGGATTCTACTTGCAGGTGAGAGTTGACTTACCCACCCTAACCCTAACCTAAGTGGTAACGGCTCACCACTTAGGGTTAGGGTTGGTCCGAAGTGGAAAGTGGGGCAGCGTGGCTTAGGGAAGCTGCCCCCACCTGGTTAGGTCATGTTGGGTCGGCATTGAACCTGACCAGGTTGTTTGAGAGTAAGTACGTGGTGGCGCGACACATCAAGATGACTTCATGCGACAAGTTGAGAGAGGCGACAGTGAGAGGCACTCGCACCTGGAATCTGACCTAAGGGAGACACTCGGTGAATTGAGGCTTCCCTCAAGTAGGCAATCTTGAGGGAAGTAGCCATTCTGCATCTACGGACTGCAAGTTACTACTTTGTTCTTCAGCATCCGCGGGGGATCCGGCGTTGCACATTGGTGTTGGAAGTGAGACCCTCCTACATGATAGGACACTAGTGTAGAGGTAGTGATAGGGTTAGAAAGACCACATGAGGAAGGGGGGTGAGTTATACGTCATCTCAGAGTCCGGGCCACTCAGGTAAGTGTCGTGCACCTAAGGGTTGCCCATGTATGCGTGCATGGTATTGTTTGTCCTGCTGGGGTACTTCCGGGTCTCTTTCCTACTCCTCTGAAGTCTTGGTTGTGTGCATTGGTGTGCAAACTACTTACTTACCGGATGGATGTGGAAATGAAGTATCGTGCTTTGGAAGCCATATCTTTCTACAGTGCTTTATCTTTTCTTCTGTAATTGGATGTACTCTGTAGGTTCTCTCTTGAAGTTGAAATTCGTTTTTCAATACGGTAGAGGCAGAAAGTGGGACCTTGAGGTACTTTCCTTGGTTGGGACTTGGTCGCGACCTACTTGGGACCCGTTGGGACCCAATGGGACCGAGCACAAACAAGAAGGGCCCCTGGGACCCAAATCTGTTGACGCAGTGTCGCTCTCTGTTCTGTCTGGGACACGATAATCTTCTTTTTGATTAGAGCCCTCTCTGCCGAGGGGATCTCGGCTGAGATGCTTTGTCAGACTGATGACACACAATCCAATGCTTGACCTGCACCTTATACACCACTCAATTCTCCATTGCTGTATGATGTTACTTTTTATTCTGGTTTGCTGTACTTTGATGGTGCCAGTTAGATTAGGCTCAAGGGGATCTTGTACTCGGTCTGACCGGACTTGAACGCAGAACCAGAACTCTCTTCTGAAGGTATTGTATTCTTTGATTTGTTCTTTTGGTTCTCTCTAGTCCAAATATTTGTTGCTCCGGCTAGGAGCTCTATCTTCTACTCTGCAGTTTCAGTCTGTTTCTTTTGCTGAAGTCCAATACATGCCCGTTGAGACGTGCGGACAAGAGAAAAGGGCAAGAGAAGCCATGGCAACTGATGGGACTAGTGATTCCAACATGGCACCGGCCAAACTTTCGGATATGTTAAAGGCCCGCATGGATGCAGCGAATGAGGCTGATAAGCCGCTGTATGAGGTCCTCTATCAGAAAGAGTTGGCTGAGGAGGAGAAGGCGGAAGACGCAAAGCGAAAAACAGCCGTTGATGAACTTGAGGCCATTTTTCGAGCGGTTCCGAATGTATCTGATGCAGACCTTAAGAAAGATCTGATTGTGTATGTACGTGTCGTTGTTGATTACCATTTGCTCAACGAACTTCCAAGTGTGAAGTCCCAATTACTTGCAGAAATGAGTAAGATGCGTACTCAAATGGTAGACATGGCCAAAGAGCACCGCGATCAGATCCAACAAATGGCAGCCATGCATCAGACCCCACTCTCAAGTTCTCTTCCTCGTTCTACCTTTGCACCCCTCCATTCCTCTCCTTCTTCTCAATCTTGTTCATTGAGTTTGGTGATTCGGTCAGGATCTGCGACAGGTGCAGTTCCCACTGCCGTTGCAAGCGACAACGCAGGAAGTTCTGCAACTGCCGCAGCCCTGGGATCAGATCCAACAACAATGGCTCAACCCAGCTATAGCAGTCCATACGTGGACGGGCAGGCGATGATGATACCGTCTAAGTTTGACGGCAAGGAGGACGTTGAGTCCTGGATCAGCTCCATGAGAGCGTACTTTGAAGTACATGGCACTCAAAGAGTAAGCCAGTCCTTGATCCAGGGGACAAACGTCGAGCCTGTCGTAAGGGGATTCCTTGAAGTCCAAGCCATGCAAGCTGGGTATGCAAAGATCAACCTATTCGAGTGGCTTAAAGTCAAGCCGGTCACCACTCTTGAGGACATACTCGTAGCACAATATAAGGACCCGCATGCTGCTGCAAGAGTAAGGACACAACTCGATGAACTCAAGCGCAAGTGTCCGGGCACCATGCATAAATTGCAACTGCATGTCAGCAAGCTCTTTGCACCGCCAGGATTGGAGTTGACTGCGCAATCATGCTTGGATGTAGTCAAAGGTACGGTTCCCACTCACTTGACCAATCCGCTAGGCAGGGATTTCTTCGATTATACTGACTAGTTCTCTTTAATGAAGGATGTAGGCAGGAGACCTCCTTACCGCAGCAAGCAGCAAAAAGACCTTTGCTCGCGGGCGATTTCGTGGCAGCAATCGCTTAGCTTCGCTAGACTTGCTGGAAGGGGAAGGGGAGGCCGAAGCAGACGACCCCACTCTTGGCGACGGTCAAGAGCAGGACACTGATACAGCCTGCTCTCCAACTCAAGAATCTGATATGAATAATGATGATGATAAATTTTGTGCCTTTAAAAAGACTGCCCATGGGAACAAGTGGCAGGGCACCATGCATAAATTGCAACTGCATGTCAGCAAGCTCTTTGCACCGCCAGGATTGGAGTTGACTGCACAATCATGCTTGGATGTAGTCAAAGGTACGGTTCCCACTCACTTGACTAATCGCCTAGGCAGGGATTTCTTCGGTTATATTGACTAGGTCTCTTTAATGAGGGATGTAGTCAGTGTGGAGGCAGGAGACCTCCTTACCGCAGCAAGCAGCAAAAAAACCTTTGCTCGCGAACGATTTCGTGGCAGCAATCGCTTAGCTTCGCTAAACTTGCTGGAAGGGGAAGGGGAGGCCGAAGCAGACGACCCCACTCTTGGCGACGGCCAAGAGCAGGACACTGATACAGCCTGCTCTCCAACTCGTGAATCTGATATGAATAATGATGATGATAAATTTTGTGCCTTTAAAAAGACTGCCCATGGGAAGGGAAACCAAAACAGGAATTCAGTAAGGAGCTTCGTCACACTTCCTAAGGGAGCCAAAATCCCAGCCAAACCGGAGGATGCAACTACTAAACCTTGGGTAGACCTCCTGATCAGTGAGGCTGAATGGAAGGCTAGAATGAAAAAGGGAGGTTGCCTGCATTGCTTGAAAACGAACCATAAGGTACAAGATTGCTACACGC